GACTACATCTAACCCTGTACAAAGACTACATCTAACCCTGTACAAAGACTACATCTAACCCTGTACAAAGACTACATCTAACCCTGTACAAAGACTACATATAACCCTGTACAAAGACCACATCTAACCATGTATAAAGACTACATCTAACCATGTACAAAGACTACATCTAACCATGTACAAAGACTACATCTTACCCAACACAAAGACTGTCTTACCCTGTACAACCACTACATCAAACCCTGTTCAAAGACAGTCTAATCATGTACAAACACTATATCTAACCCTGTATGAAGACCACATCTAACCCTGTACAGATTACTTCTAACCCTGTATAAAGATCACATCTAACCCTGTACAAGCACTATATCTAACCCTGTGTAGATTATATCTAACCCTTTATGAAGACCACATCTAACTCTGTACAGACTATATCTAACCCTGTATAAAAACTATATCTAACCCTATTTAAAGACTATCTAACTCTTACAAAGTCCTACAGCAGACAAACCAATGCTCACAGTGTATGTACAATGTTATGCAAAATAGGCAACACAAGTTGTCAGCTTGTTCTGCTAATCTGTGAAGTGAAATGAAACATTCTTGGTTGTCAGACTGAATGTCACCAGCGCTGGGAGAGAAAAGGCCTCCTGCTTGTCACACGCAAATTAAAAGATGCGCCTCATGTTTCTTATCTCCAATCCATTGTAGTAGCAGAAATGCAGCTTTATCGTATTTCAGATTTGTTTTTCTTTCTATACTGAAAGTTCATCAGGAGATGAGATCAACCTCTGATGGCTGTGTTTTCGACAATATTTGTCTCAGATATTTGGCTGAAGTTAGGGACAAGCGACTGGTTAAATCTGTTTTTTTCTGCAGTTTTTGTGTAATATTATTTGAAGTGAATAACACAAAAATGTTTCAGTGTATGGACTCATGATGCAAATATAAAATCTGACTAACAGTAATCAAGTCTTTAGTTATGGAATAACAGTAAGATAAGGTTGTTTATTTGCTCTTGTGCTCCTGGATCATTCAAGCTGAGAAATTGTCTTTTAACTCTTCAACAACTAACATTTATTTTCTGATTAGGTGTAGAAAGTTTATGATCAATTAATATTTTACCTAATCTAGATCGCTCTTTAAACAAGCCCTGTTCGGTAAAACTGAGTTTAATGCTGACCAGAA